GGGTATCTGGCTAATGATTGGCCGAAGTGGGTTTCCAGGCTTGTGTGTCTTGACATTTCCATACGCATATCCAGGTTTATATTCTCCAATGATCTTTGGCAGGTGGAGTCCGGATTTCTTGGCGTTCACAGTTTCGATCAGTTTGTTGACCTTTGCTTTTAATTCGGCTGTAGTGTCCTTCGTTACCCTTTGGAACTTAGTTTAGTCAGAGAGTATGATGTTCATTTTCGCCAGATATTCGTCTTTTTTAAGAATGACATATATTGGCGACTTGTCACCTCTCCTGACAACTATCTCCTTGTTCTCGCGAAGGCTTTTAGCTGCCGCTTTGAGCTCGGGGGACAGTATGGTGCTTCTGTAATTGCCTCGATTCTTTCCTCCTTCTGCAATAAGTTCTGCTTGTAAGGCATCTTTGGTAGTGACCTTCTTTTGTGTCTCGAGGTCGAATATGTCATCCAACAGAATTTCCAACTCTACTTTCCGGGCCATCTCACTCGGTCTGGACATAACATGACAGTTTATGCCCAGATTTAGGAGAGTGACTTGGTCCTCAGTGAGGTTAATTCCTGCAAGGTTTAGGAAGCCATCTTTTGGTCGTGGAATTGCCATAGGTCCTCCATATAATGTTGTTAGTTTCTAGATAATCCTTGTTTCAGTGCTGAGGTGAAGTTGGTCTGTGAGGATGTCGAGGTGTTGTTCAATGCGGGTACGGATACTTTCGTCGATGTTGCTATTTCTCCACTCGTTTGTAGCCACTCGGCTTCTCCAATGGTTTCGTCGAAGACATGATAAGAAGGAAAGTGAAACGCCATGCAACCTCTGAAGAGACAACTAACACAACACCTATACCCCCTATTAAACTATTTTACAGGAACTTCTTTTCCACTGCTCATAAAACGGAGGAAAGGGTCCTGAAAGATATTGTTAATAGAAACGTTGTCCCTACAGACAAAAATCAGAGGATACAACTGACGATTTACTATAAAACCAGAAAAACGGCCAGCCTACTCATGAGAAACTCTCCAGACACAAAACAGAACGCTTTAAAAGAGACTAACGTCGTCTATGCCTTCAAATGCCCTCTTGGGGACTGTAAGCTCCAAAAAACCCAGTATATAGGCAAGACAACAACATCTCTTTCTAGGCGTTTAACGATGCATAAGCAACAGGGCTCCATTAAGGAACATATAATCTCTTCCCACAACCAAACCATCGCCAGAGAAATCCTAGTAAACAACACAGAAATCATCGATAGATACAGCGATAGCAGGCGGCTTGACGTTTGTGAGGCACTACACATCAAGAAGTCAATACCAGCAATCAACAGCCAATTAATGCACAACTATATTCTACCCACCTCAAGACTCCGCTCCAATATAGTAGCATCAAGAAATATGGACCAATAGGCTTTCTACAAACACTTCTATTCAATACCCATTGTTTCGTGTTCTGTCTTGTGTTGATGAAATTAATACCCTATTAATGCCACCTCTTGTTCTGTCTTGTGTTGATGAAATTAATACCCTATTAATGCCACCTCACCCCATCCACCTCACTCAAATGCAGATATAAAATCGGAGATACGTAAGTTCTATTCAGTTGTGTATTTGTAAACTAAAGTCTTTGAAAATGTAATCAGTTTTACGAAACGCGCTCGTGTCGCGTCAGACTAGAAATAAAAATGAATTTTGGAGAATTGATTTTTGATTTACCTCCAACAGTGAAAAGAAATGTACGAAAGATTGAGAAAATTCGTGTTAGAATTATTAATCTTACTTTTTCGGTCATATTTAATAATATATGTCTACATTAAAGACTGCTACCAAAATATACTAATATTAAAGCGCACGACCCAGCAGCAAGGAATCAAGCCTTCACGATAAAATATCGCCAGGATCTGATTCGTGATCAGATATACAAGGCAGAGAATGAAATCAAAGACAACAAAACGCAACTACTTCATGCTACAAACGAGTGGAGAAATAGCAACATCGACGAAAGTATCCGTACCCGCATTGAACAACACCTCGACATCCTCACAGACCAACATCACCTCAGCACTGAAACAAGGATTATCAAGAAACTAACAACATTATATGGACGACCTATGGCAATTCCACGACCAAGAGATGGCTTCCTGAACCTTGCAGGAATTAACCTCACTGAGGACCAAGTCACTCTCCTAAATCTGGGCATAAACTGTCATGTTATGTCCAGACCGAGTGAGATGGCCCGGAAAGTAGAGTTGGAAATTCTGTTGGATGACATATTCGACCTCGAAACACAAAAGAAGGTCACTACCAAAGATACCTTACAAGCAGAACTTATTGCAGAAGGAGGAAAGAATCTAGGCAATTACAGAAGCACCATACTGTCCCCCGAGCTCAAAGCGGCAGCTAAAAGCCTTCGTGAGAACAAGGAGATAGTTGTCAGGAGAGGTGACAAGTTGCCAATATATGTCATTCTTAAAAAAGACGAATATCTGGCGAAAATGAACATCATACTCTCTGACCAAACTAAGTTCCAAAGGGTAACGAAGGACACTACAGCCGAATTAAAAGCAAAGGTCAACAAACTGATCGAAACTGTGAACGCCAAGAAATCCGGACTCCACCTGCCAAAGATCATTGGGGAATATAAACCTGGATATGCGTATGGAAATGTCAAGACACACAAGCCTGGAAACCCACTTCGGCCAATCATTAGCCAGATACCCACACCCACGTACAGACTAGCGAGGCAATTCAACGGCTTGCTGACTCCTTATGTCCCTTGCGCCTTCAGCCTTAAGTCTCCAAAGGAATTTGTTGAATTACTGCGGGGAACACGGGCCACAGGGATAAGAGCCTCGTTGGACGTAGAATCACTGTTTACCAACGTACCTGTGGATGAAACAATCGGGATGATAGCGGACAGAGTGTATCGTGACCCAGCCTGTATTCCTCTTGACATACTAGAAAACATTCTAAGTAAACTACTCCAAGCTTGTACTAAAGAGGCACCCTTCTTGAGTCCGGATGGGCACATGTATAAGCAAGTAGATGGGGTCGCCATGAGTTCTTCCCTAGGTATCCTGTTTGCGAACTTCTACATGGGTACCATCGAGCAAAAGGTCTTAGTCGACATGAACTTGAAACCGGCCATATACTGCAGGTATGTTGACGACATTTTTACACAGGTACCTGATGTGAGACATCTGCAGGAGCTGAAGGAGGCATTTGAGCAGAATTCTGTGTTGCGTTTCACTTACGAGATGGAGAATGATGGGAAGCTGCCATTTCTAGATGTAACAGTCATGGAAAGGAGCGGAGTTTTCGACACTGCAGTCTACACTAAGGAAACAAACATAGGAATGTGTCTCAATGCCAACAGTGACTGCCTAGACAGGTACAAGAGGAGTGTTGTTAACGCTTATGTCGACCGTGCTCTCAGCCACAGCTCAGGATGGAAGCAATTCGATAAAGAACTCTGTAGGGTAAGGCAGGTCCTAGTCAACAACAGGTTCTCCAATGGTTTCGTTGAAGACATCATAAGAAGGAAGGTGAAAGCCATGCGACCTCTGAAGAGACAACTAACACAACACCTATATCCCCTATTAGACTATTTTACAGGAACTTCTTTTCCACAGCTCATAAAACGGAGGAGAGGGTCCTGAAAGATACTGTTACCTGGCACGTAGCCAGGGTGAAGAACGTCGCCCAGGACGGCGCTCTGCCGGTAGTCATACCCTGGGTGTTGACAAAGGCTTTAACAGGCCGAAACGTTTACCTCTCTTTCCCATTTCTTTGTGGTTTTTCCGCATATATATATATATATATATATATATATATATATATATATATATATATATATATATATATATATATACATACCAGTTGCGTTGCTTCTGGGAGTATGGGTTCGAGTCACTTCTGGGGTGTGAGTTTTCAGTTGCATATTGTCCTGGGGACCATTCAGGCTTGTTCGCATTTGTGTTCCTCACGTGTGCCCCAAAGAATGAGGTGATTTAGTAAAATGCTATGCCCAAGATTACTATCCGAGTGCCGGCGGTGGGGTGGTTCAAATAGCTTAGGCTATCACCTCATTTTGTCCGGTCGTGATGGTCAAGTGGATTAAGGCGTCTTGTACATACCAGTTGCGTTGCTTCTGGGAGTATGGGTTCGAGTCACTTCTGGGGTGTGAGTTTTCAGTTGCATATTGTCCTGGGGACCATTCAGGCTTGTTCGCATATATATATATATATATATATATATAGTTGCTGAGTACTATGCGAACAATGCTGGGAAGTACCCAGCATTGCCTGGGTCTGTCTGTTATCCATTTATTTGAACATCTTTACATCTCTCCAAGTATCTATCTATCTGTCCATGTAGCTATGTGTCCATCCATCTGTACATCTTTCTATCAGTCGTTTCATAAAGCTATTGATCTATTTTTATAGCCCTCAATCCATCTATCTATCCCTCCATTTGTCCATCTATATATCCATCTATCCTTCCCCTCATTTTTCTGTCCCCACATTTTCCCCATTCCAAGATTCTCTTGCTGTTTCTCCTTTCTCTCTGAAAATGTATGATTAAATAGCACTGAAACAACTGTATGAGTCTTAAGAAATTATATTATTATGACATAAAAAATTTCAAACTCCAGATTAATCACACACGAAATTTACACTTCCCAACCAAGACTCCATGACGCTTGGCTAGAAGGGTCTTTATTATTACTCATTTTTCTGCAAACATTTAACTTGGGCTTATCTCGACCAGCCTATGTCCATCCCATATTGCAGGCCTTACCTCCTGCAAATTTTGGCGAGGCTGACCTCAACTCTCTGGCCTTCATCTTTGAACAGTGATAGACAGACATTCTCTCTGACAGGTATAGATGTAGGTATAAATTAATAGTTTACATAGCAATAAATACATATCATCATCAAGAGAGAATGGGGAATGGTAGAGCTGGTATTTTGTGCCTGAAAACTAAGTCTGCATCCGACATACCTCTTCCTGTACCAGAGGCACGACGGCCCAAGTCCGCCAGAAAATGGCTATTCCTATATGAGTGAGAGTGTTGCGAACGCGGTGCCAGAAGGAGTATGGGTTGGGGTAATCTGTCATGTGATTGGGCACGTAGCCAGGGTGGAGAACGTTGCCCAGGACGGCGCTCTGCCGGTAGTCATACCCTGGAGTGGTGACCATGATGAAGGGCATCTCGTGCACGAACGGGTACGCCACCTGCAGGCAGAGTAAGGTAATGACTCATCTTCACATGGATCCATAACTGTTATTTTATCAACTTGCATTAAATACCCGCATCGTCTGGTCATGATGAATCTTTTAACATTCAGTCACTCAATACACATGTTACCAGACACACATTAACAGACGAGTGGTAGCCACGTGCTCGTGCCCACCTCATTACCATCACTCTCACCATCACAATTATGGGATATACACTTGTAGTAACTAGGCATCTATTTTGTTTATATATAAAGGTTCACAGCAAAATTTCCTCTCAGTAGTGCAAGTTGAGAAAGTAAAGAACATCTGTAATGTTTCAAACAAAATCTACATAAACGTCTTTTGAGGCTTAAGGCGTTATAAAAGGAAAATGTGTAAGATCAGAATAAATACGAAATTAATTTTGTGTTCGTAGTCATACCGAGCCTTTTGATGGTAATTAACTAATATGTTATATTACATATGCTTTTAAAATAATAAAATATTAATATAAAAGGGATTCGATTTTCTGAGAGTAGGACCACGAGAAGACACTCAGTTGCCTGAGAGTAAAATCCACACAAGAAAGGCAGGTTGTATGCTGCAAGAAACTAGCCAAAGAGAACCTGTTACATTCCCAAGTAACTGTCAAGAAGAGATACGACGACAAAGCGACATTTAAGGAATTTCAGGTTGGAGACCTGGTACTGGTATGTTCTCCAACAGTAACAAGAAACTTCAGTACCATATTTATTGGTCCTTACAATGTTCTCAAGAAAGTTAATGCTATTAATTAACTATATCCTAAGCACTCAAGACAGGAAAAAGAAGAATATGTTGGTACCAGTGAACATGGTGGACATAACAAGGACGGGACATTCGTCCAGTGATGATGGTGATCTCAAGAGACGAAGACCAAGAGGTGATGGAGGACGTTGGTAAGCAAGTAGCATCGAATTCAGAGTTTCTGCTGAATCTACCCACCAAGTTAACTCACGTATCTGAGGAGCAACAGAGATCCTTAATAGACTTAATAACGCAATATAAGTCTATTTTCAGAGATTCTCCAGGTCTGACGTCCGTCTTGAAGCACGTTATTCTTGAGGAGGGCGGAAGACAGATAAATCAACATCCCTACCGACTCGATCCGCGTAAGAGTCCGTGAGATTGACTAAATGCTCCAACATAATCTGATCGCCGCAAGTATTTGTCTGCGGTCGTCTCCCATTCTACTAATACCCAAGCCTGGTAATGAGTATAGGTTATGCATAGATTACCGACAGGTTAACAAGGTCACAGTTGCTGATACATATCCGCTTCCTAGGATAGAAAAGTTCATTGATACCATCGGTAAGGCAACCTACCTCAAGAAGTTCGACCTCTTCAGGGTTATTGACAGGTACCTCTGACAGGACATACCGAACCTATTTCTGCTTTTGTAATTCCTGCTCGTCTTTTTGAGTGTAAAGTGATGCCATTTGATATGAAAAATGCCGCCTCTATGTTTCAGCGAATGATGACTAGGGTACTACGCGACGTAGAGAATGTCATGGTCTACATTGATGATGTATTGATCTGTGATTCAAATTGGGAGGACCATTTCCAGCATATGGAAGCAATCTTCTTGACTATTCATCAAGCTCGGTTGGTAGTCAATCTGCATAAATCGGAACTTGTTAAGACATCTGTAATCTTTTTAGGACATGTGGTTAGTGGAGGATGGATCGCTCCTAAGAATAACAACGTAGAAGCCTTCGTTCAGTACCCGTCCCCTTCAACATGTAAGGAGGTCCTGCATTTTCTGGGTATGGTATTAATCTTCCGTAAGTTCGTTCCTAACTTCTCGACGATAGCAGTGCCTTTGACAAATCTCCTAATGAAGGGAACGAAGTTCATGTGAACCAAGAACTGTCAGATAGCTTTTGAGAGCCTAAAAGCTATACTGATATCATCTCCCATTCTCATGTCTCCTAATTTCGATGACAGATTCATAGTAACCGTCGATGCTTCAGACTACGGCATAGGGGCAGTGTTGTCTCAGAATGATGCTAAAGGAAAGAACACCCTGTGATTTATTATTATTATTCCAAGAAATTAAGTGATTGTCAACAGAATTATTCAGTGATAGAAAAAGAAACATTGGTCCTGGTGAGTGCTGTGCAACACTTTGACGTCGATTTGATGCAGTAACCTTATCCAATTTTTGTCAGAACTGACCATAATCCTTTAAAAATTTTAGGATTAAATCTTATGACTCCATCTTATGAATCTCTGGTTAACCAGATGGAACCTTCATCTCCAGCAGTGTGCACTTTGTATTGATCACATTAAAGGAGTTGAGAATGTAGTAGCAGATGCCTTATCACGCATCTAAAACACTAATTTGTTTTCTTTCAAGAAATCCAAAAAAACATTTTAGGAGGGGAGGTGCAATGATGTCAACGCCATCTGTTGAGCGCAACCGACACCATTTTTCTGTTCCCCGGTGGATAGCTGTAATCTTACTGACACCTGTGTAGTTTCCTTCTTACATTAAAAATTTTACTTCTCAGAAGTAATGTGGGTGGCACCATGGTCGACAAGATTTAATTCACCCATGGCAGTCCTGAACTCAAGACTTGTTCCAGTGCAAACAAGTTGGGCCGAGTCGATGGAAACTGAATTTTCTGTGATAACCAGTGAAGTATTGGTGATTGGACCGACGTATCCCGGGATGGCCCAGTTGAGTTGCTAGATAAAATTAACGTCCATCTGTCCTCTATGTTAAGGCTTGTTATTGGTAAAGCCTGTAGGGAAAGGCAGCCAGCGTGTTGCTGGAGAGTCGAAGTGACGTTTTGACACTATGGTAATACTGTGGAGGACAGGCCCATGATTTACTGAGAAAAGTGAACTCGCTGGCATGAGTACCGTACAAGAAAGGCTTAGTGAAGGTACATTGAGTGTTGAACAATAGATGATAGAAGTGGACTCGCTGGGAAAAAAAGATTGCAGAAGTTCTTTTGTAGTGTCCTGTGTGAAAGTGACACCTGCGGTGTTATGTGTTGAATATGTAATGACGTGTATATAGCTAAGAAGGGCACGTGGGGATGGTTTTGTTTGGTGTAGTTTACCCCATTCCCGTTGGATTGACGATTACTGCCAGTTCTTAATAACTTAACTATGGCTCGGTGTTGGATCTGTTAAGAAGAGGCACTAAGGCCCCTTAGAAAGTTTGAGTGGAAAGAACTCGGTTACTGGCTAAGCGAGTCCGTAACACTGAATATTACTGTTGATGAAGAAACATGAAAATATGAGCCATCTTCAGAAGAAGACTGCCAAAATATGGCAGTTTAGACACTAAAGATCTCTGCCGTATACAACTAAAAGCACAGAAAATATTTAGGGCGCTGTTAAACTATAAATCATCGTAAGTATATCACCGAGAGCTCGAGCACAGGTGTAAGGTAAGAAAAATCTGTATCATAATGATGATAAGTTCTATCCACAAAGAACGTTTCATTAATATGAAACACAAATGCGGTTTGAATAACTTTTAACAATCCGAGAAGGAAAAACAAATGAGAATCGCCCTTACCTCGTTGAAAAGTTGGTCCACAATGATGAGATCAAACTCCTTCCTCTTTTCATAAAGGTCTTTCACCGCTGAGACCTTGTACAATTCCCTGGCGATGATTGGAGCAATTTTCACATGTTTAGACAATCCGCCTGTTGGATCCTTCAGAAAATCAAACATACTGATATTTTCATGCTGGTAGTCTGGAAGTCCGTGGGTGAACTCATGGATGTTAGGATGATGTTTCTCTATCTTCCGGTGGTTGGTCAGCATCGTAACCTAGAGATATGAAGCAGAATGTTAGGGTAATGTTGAACAAATCTACTCAAGAGCTGGACAACAAACTGGGCTACATGCATCATCTGGGGAGATGAATGATGCTGACAGAAGCACTAAATAAAGAATACATATGAAAAAAATGCCTTTTGCCTATAAAGACAAAGATCATGTACACAAAGTGTTATATGTTTAGGAAGACCGAGGTAAAGGTGGGGCGAGGCTAATCACATTACCAGTGATTAGGCATTTGTCAATCTACATTTTCCGGCAGCATTTAACTAAGTAGTAATTAGTTCAGGGCATTAACATCTGGGACATAACGAGTCCTAAGAGCCTGTTTTTACCAGGGTTCATTTTGTAAATAAGGTTATTGACGTTCCGTGTGTTGTTAAAGGATACAGCCATGTGTATTATTTAAGATTACTTACTGTTAAGGACATACGATATTCGGACACTGACACATACACTTCAACTTATTGCTGGTGTGAGGCCGAGGTGCTATCCTGGTTGGCTGTGACTAGCCCAGGCTGAGAGTGAATATATTGTTCATGATATCAAATGTACAGATAACTTAATCAGTACCATCTAAACCTAAGTGAAAAGTTAATAATTTTTAGCTTGTGCTTGCCCGTTGGTCTATGGGGCCTTATATATATATATATATATATATATATATATATATATATATATATATATATATATATATATATATATATATATATATATATAACAATATATATAACAATATATAACAAATCCACAAGGGCCGTGACGAGGATTCGAACCTGCGTCCGGGAGCATCCCAGACACTGCCTTAATCGACTGAGCTACGACAGGGTTAAAAGGGTTGAAACCGAAGTTCTACTGAACTTACTGGATCCCGTAGCCTCTCCGAGGCACAAACCAGGATTTTACACAACCCCCCTGTGTGTAATGATGTAAGGGCGAAGAGGGAGAACGGCCTATTGATATAGCTCGGGTGCAGGGGGGGGGGGGTTGTGTAAAATCCTGGTTTGTGCCTCGGAGAGGCTACAGGATCCAGTAAGTTCAGTAGAACTTCGGTTTCAACCCTTTTAACCCTGTCGTAGCTCAGTCGATTAAGGCAGTGTCTGGGATGCTCCCGGACGCAGGTTCGAATCCTCGTCACGGCCCTTGTGGATTTGTTCATTTGATGCATTACGTTAGTGTGATCAACTGAAAACTCACACCCCAGAAGTGACTCGAACCCATACTCCCAGAAGCAACGCAACTGGTATGTACAAGACGCCTTAATCCACTTGACCATCACGACCGGACAAAATGAGGTGATAGCCGAGGCTATATGAACCACCCCACCGCCGGCACTCGGATAGTTATCTTGGGCATAGCATTTTACCAAATCACCTCATTCTTTGGGGCACACGTGAGGAACACAAATGCGAACAAGCCTGAATGGTCCCCAGGACATATGCAACTGAAAACTCACACCCCAGAAGTGACTCGAACCCATACTCCCAGAAGCAACGCAACTGGTATGTACAAGACGCCTTAATCCACTTGACCATCACGACCGGACAAAATGAGGTGATAGCCGAGGCTATATGAACCACCCCACCGCCGGCACTCGGATAGTTATCTTGGGCATAGCATTTTACCAAATCACCTCATTCTTTGGGGCACACGTGAGGAACACAAATGCGAACAAGCCTGAATGGTCCCCAGGACATATGCAACTGAAAACTCACACCCCAGAAGTGACTCGAACCCATACTCCCAGAAGCAACGCAACTGGTATGTACAAGACGCCTTAATCCACTTGACCATCACGACCGGACAAAATGAGGTGATAGCCGAGGCTATTTGAACCACCCCACCGCCGGCACTCGGATAGTTATCTTGGGCATAGCATTTTACCAAATCACCTCATTCTTTGGGGCACACGTGAGGAACACAAATGCGAACAAGCCTGAATGGTCCCCAGGACATATGCAACTGAAAACTCACACCCCAGAAGTGACTCGAACCCATACTCCCAGAAGCAACGCAACTGGTATGTACAAGACGCCTTAATCCACTTGACCATCACGACCGGACAAAATGAGGTGATAGCCGAGGCTATTTGAACCACCCCACCGCCGGCACTCGGATAGTTATCTTGGGCATAGCATTTTACCAAATCACCTCATTCTTTGGGGCACACGTGAGGAACACAAATGCGAACAAGCCTGAATGGTCCCCAGGACATATGCAACTGAAAACTCACACCCCAGAAGTGACTCGAACCCATACTCCCAGAAGCAACGCAACTGGTATGTACAAGACGCCTTAATCCACTTGACCATCACGACCGGACAAAATGAGGTGATAGCCGAGGCTATTTGAACCACCCCACCGCCGGCACTCGGATAGTTATCTTGGGCATAGCATTTTACCAAATCACCTCATTCTTTGGGGCACACGTGAGGAACACAAATGCGAACAAGCCTGAATGGTCCCCAGGACATATGCAACTGAAAACTCACACCCCAGAAGTGACTCGAACCCATACTCCCAGAAGCAACGCAACTGGTATGTACAAGACGCCTTAATCCACTTGACCATCACGACCGGACAAAATGAGGTGATAGCCGAGGCTATTTGAACCACCCCACCGCCGGCACTCGGATAGTTATCTTGGGCATAGCATTTTACCAAATCACCTCATTCTTTGGGGCACACGTGAGGAACACAAATGCGAACAAGCCTGAATGGTCCCCAGGACATATGCAACTGAAAACTCACACCCCAGAAGTGACTCGAACCCATACTCCCAGAAGCAACGCAACTGGTATGTACAAGACGCCTTAATCCACTTGACCATCACGACCGGACAAAATGAGGTGATAGCCGAGGCTATTTGAACCACCCCACCGCCGGCACTCGGATAGTTATCTTGGGCATAGCATTTTACCAAATCACCTCATTCTTTGGGGCACACGTGAGGAACACAAATGCGAACAAGCCTGAATGGTCCCCAGGACATATGCAACTGAAAACTCACACCCCAGAAGTGACTCGAACCCATACTCCCAGAAGCAACGCAACTGGTATGTACAAGACGCCTTAATCCACTTGACCATCACGACCGGACAAAATGAGGTGATAGCCGAGGCTATTTGAACCACCCCACCGCCGGCACTCGGATAGTTATCTTGGGCATAGCATTTTACCAAATCACCTCATTCTTTGGGGCACACGTGAGGAACACAAATGCGAACAAGCCTGAATGGTCCCCAGGACATATGCAACTGAAAACTCACACCCCAGAAGTGACTCGAACCCATACTCCCAGAAGCAACGCAACTGGTATGTACAAGACGCCTTAATCCACTTGACCATCACGACCGGACAAAATGAGGTGATAGCCGAGGCTATTTGAACCACCCCACCGCCGGCACTCGGATAGTTATCTTGGGCATAGCATTTTACCAAATCACCTCATTCTTTGGGGCACACGTGAGGAACACAAATGCGAACAAGCCTGAATGGTCCCCAGGACATATGCAACTGAAAACTCACACCCCAGAAGTGACTCGAACCCATACTCCCAGAAGCAACGCAACTGGTATGTACAAGACGCCTTAATCCACTTGACCATCACGACCGGACAAAATGAGGTGATAGCCGAGGCTATTTGAACCACCCCACCGCCGGCACTCGGATAGTTATCTTGGGCATAGCATTTTACCAAATCACCTCATTCTTTGGGGCACACGTGAGGAACACAAATGCGAACAAGCCTGAATGGTCCCCAGGACATATGCAACTGAAAACTCACACCCCAGAAGTGACTCGAACCCATACTCCCAGAAGCAACGCAACTGGTATGTACAAGACGCCTTAATCCACTTGACCATCACGACCGGACAAAATGAGGTGATAGCCGAGGCTATTTGAACCACCCCACCGCCGGCACTCGGATAGTTATCTTGGGCATAGCATTTTACCAAATCACCTCATTCTTTGGGGCACACGTGAGGAACACAAATGCGAACAAGCCTGAATGGTCCCCAGGACATATGCAACTGAAAACTCACACCCCAGAAGTGACTCGAACCCATACTCCCAGAAGCAACGCAACTGGTATGTACAAGACGCCTTAATCCACTTGACCATCACGACCGGACAAAATGAGGTGATAGCCGAGGCTATTTGAACCACCCCACCGCCGGCACTCGGATAGTTATCTTGGGCATAGCATTTTACCAAATCACCTCATTCTTTGGGGCACACGTGAGGAACACAAATGCGAACAAGCCTGAATGGTCCCCAGGACATATGCAACTGAAAACTCACACCCCAGAAGTGACTCGAACCCATACTCCCAGAAGCAACGCAACTGGTATGTACAAGACGCCTTAATCCACTTGACCATCACGACCGGACAAAATGAGGTGATAGCCGAGGCTATTTGAACCACCCCACCGCCGGCACTCGGATAGTTATCTTGGGCATAGCATTTTACCAAATCACCTCATTCTTTGGGGCACACGTGAGGAACACAAATGCGAACAAGCCTGAATGGTCCCCAGGACATATGCAACTGAAAACTCACACCCCAGAAGTGACTCGAACCCATACTCCCAGAAGCAACGCAACTGGTATGTACAAGACGCCTTAATCCACTTGACCATCACGACCGGACAAAATGAGGTGATAGCCGAGGCTATTTGAACCACCCCACCGCCGGCACTCGGATAGTTATCTTGGGCATAGCATTTTACCAAATCACCTCATTCTTTGGGGCACACGTGAGGAACACAAATGCGAACAAGCCTGAATGGTCCCCAGGACATATGCAACTGAAAACTCACACCCCAGAAGTGACTCGAACCCATACTCCCAGAAGCAACGCAACTGGTATGTACAAGACGCCTTAATCCACTTGACCATCACGACCGGACAAAATGAGGTGATAGCCGAGGCTATTTGAACCACCCCACCGCCGGCACTCGGATAGTTATCTTGGGCATAGCATTTTA